CCCCCCGGCTCCAGGCATCCCCGGTCCGGACACACACCCTGGCCCCGACTCCAGTCCCCCCCCCGGCCAGGCCAGGCCCGGCCCCGAACACCCCGTCCCCGTAGCGCTCCTCAGCCGCCGCCCCCAGTTACCATTTTCTTGCTCTCGGTGCCCCGACCGGCCTGGCGCGACATCCTGCCCGGCCCGGTGTGCGTCGCCCCGGACCCGCTCAGCCGACAGCCTCCCTCAGAGCCTAGGGGCAGGGCCTGGCGCGGGGCGTGACGGGAACTGGAGTCCCCTCGGCCCAGCGCCTCCTCCACCCCAGCGCGGCCGCTCCGCCCGGAGAACTACCGCCCCCACAATGCACCGCTCGCCGCCCTCGGGGCATGCTGGGAACGAGAGGTGAGAGGGAGGGAGACGTACCACTCCCAGCATGCCCTGGGAGAGCAGCGCGTGACTCAACTACAGTTCCCAGCATGCCCTGGGAGAACAGGGCCAGCAGAGACTACAGCTCCCAGCATGCCCTGGGCGGGCTCAGGTGGAAGGACTACAATCCCCAGCATGCCCAGCGACGGCGAGTCTGGCCTCTAGGTGGTACTTGGGGAGCAGGCTGCTGGAGGAGCAGCTGCATCCCCTGCCATGTGGCCTTGCGAGGTGGGGTGGTGCCTGGCCCAGGCGCTGGAGTCTCGGTTGCAGCGCCAGCCTGGCCAGTTTGGTGCCCTGGGCAGCGCCAGGGGCTGGGCGTGTCTGTCTTGCCGGGCTGGCGTCAGTGCCCCCCGCTAGGTGGGGCAGAACCATCTCCCTGGCACAGGAGTGGAGTGGGGCCTGCTGGCACGCCTGGCCACGACCCCCTGGAGTGAGGGCACAGGGTCATCCGGCTCTTGGCTGGGATTACACTCCTTTGGGCAGGCCAGCTGGGGAGCTCCCCAGGAGGAGGGTGCAGCTGCCACCTGTCTGGGTGAGGGGGGGCCCCATTGTTCCATGTGAAACTCTGCAGGGTGTGTGTCGTGACTCACCCTGAACCCTGGTCCATGTGCTGCTAATTTAACATACAGACACAAAAACACTCACAGAGTGAACCAGCTCTGCGGCCTCTCAGGCACTCGTCTCACACAGTAGCTTTCCCCCGCATGAATGCTACACTAGCAAACATGGGACAGTATGTTTATGTTCCTGCTGCTACCAGTGTCATTCCACAGTTACTATTGCAACTGGCTAGAGGCAGTTCACAAAAAGAGGGCAGTTTGTTTGCAGTTAAATCTGAATTAACATGGATTGGAGTCCTCAAAGTGCAACAACTGTTTTATGTTACTTTATATCTTGTTCTCTAAGTATGTAATTGCTTCCTTGAGACATAGAGGAGTGCAAGTGAGCAAACCTAACTGAAGAGTCGCCGTGGTAGAATAGAGTGGGGAAGCGGTGGGAGGGGGGAGGATGGTAATTGGAGGAGAGGAGTGAGTGGGTTGGAGGAGCACAGCTATAGGGTGTAAAATCAGAGAGCAGGAGAAGTGAAGGAACAAGTCCAGGGAGAGCTTTGGAAACCAGGAGGCCCATTTGGAAGTGGGTTTGGAAACTGACAGGAAATATAAACTTTTCATTTTTGTAGCTGAGTATCTCCTTGTATGGTAGAAGAGTCAGCTAAGGAAAGCTACAGGGGAGAGAAGTGAAAGTGACTTCACTGATTCACTTCAACCCAGACCTGCTTCCGGCTGCTAAACATGCAGGCTCACCAAACCTCTCTTCCAATGTCCTTCATTCCTGACGTGCAGCCCTCCTACAATTCCAATCCTAGGACCTTACACAACTCTGCCAATGCACCTTATTCCCGACCTGAAACTCCCATTACTGTTCCAGTCCTGGCTCTCCTTGAGCAGAGACTAGACACCTCAGGCCAAGTTCTCTGTTGGATTTGCAGTGTGAACCTTTGACAATAGGCTAGGAACCCACAAACATTTGAACTTGCGACCCGAGCTTTGAATTGGAGTGTGATTTCTCAGAAACAAAAGGCTGGTGTATTCGTCTATTTCCTGAAATTGCTTCATAGCCACTGAGTTCAGAAAATAGTATTAACTCCATCACATACCATAGCTAAATAACCAGAGCTCATTGGCTGCAGGACGCCCTGAAGCAAAGCAGTCAGCTGCATCCAAGGAAGCCTATCGCTAAGTATTTGATGGGTGATATATGCCATGTGTGTTATTCGGTAGGGTGACCAGATAGCAAATGTGAAAAAACAGGACGGGGGCAGGGGGTAATAGACGCCTATATAAGAAAAAGTCCCAAAAAACGGAACTGTCCCTTTAAAAACGGGCCATCTGGTCACCCTAGTTATTTGGCCAACATTCGGTGCCCACATTCTCCATACTGCACATGTTAACAGAACATAACTGGCTCTTAGAGATAAGGACCCACAGTGCCTGTGTTAATACTGCACAATGGTGACAGTATCTAAGGGCCTTCCGTTTATGAGATAACACAGTATGCGTTATCTCATGGAGAAATGGTGCTTCAGCTAATGCCAGGGCTCTGGGGCACTCCTTGTTCTTTGCAGAGATTGTATAATTTAGTTGAGTGTTTCACGCCTAGAAGTCTGATTCTGCAAAACAATAGTTTACCCCCAAATTAATCTGTCCAGAAATGTTGCTGTCAGTTTGTATAACGATACCACTGCTGTCCCATTTTCTTTGGTGTAGTCGGTTGGAACAATAATCTGTCCAGCATCGGTTTTCTCTTAGCTTGAAGTCTAAAATTTAGGCTTCTACCTCTCTATCTACTAGAGCCGTGTTGTCTGAATCACTTCTACCTTCTTACCAAAGTCTGACATGTTCTTAGTGTAACATACTGGCAATGCACGTACGTACGTGTGTCTGTCTCTCTCCTTCCAATTGCTGGTCCACTAGATGAGAGCAAGCTACTGCAGCCTGCAGATACTTACTGTTTTAGCTCATGCTGTAGATGCTTGTGCTGCATTGCAGAAGGTGCCAGGTTCATACCGTGCTGATGACCCATGTGGAAGTGGGGGTGTCATTATTACATTACAAAGTAACATCAGGATATTACATTAGGAGTTTTTTCTCCAGAACTATATACAAAAAGACAATAACCAATAGCCTGAAGTTAGGTCAACAATGAAAGCAGATGAAGTGGGAGAAGCTCAAGTCACTGCCCAGGGTCCTTTTCCATCTTGGCTTACCTCTCCCCTTCTGTCCCAATCTACTTCACTGAGGCTTTTGGAAAGCTTGTTACCCAGATAACTGTTCCTGCCAATCCTTTTGTTGTAACGCCACACCACTTCCAGCAGCACCATGGGGCATGGAGTATTCACAGGTCCCATTCGCAGAGGGCTACCCCCACTACAGTGCCACGAAGAGTCTGGCCCTATCTCTGCCACAAGTACATTTTTCAAGCCACAGCTCTGCAGCACAGTAG